GACAAGAGTCTTGCTTTGTAGTGGAGACTGGTTTTGAACTCACTATGTAGCCCAGGCTGGCCTCAAACTCATCCTTCTTCGTCAGCCTCCCAAGTGCTGGGATTACAGGCATGTGCTACCACATCCAGGTGAAAATATACTTATAAATATCTCTGTATATATAGTTAAATAAAGATCTTATTTATTGCATTAGAAATTGAATCCAAGGCCATCTCACTGAACTATATCCCAGGCTATTTTTAATTTTTTCATTTTTGAGACAGAGATTTGCTAAATTGCTGAGTTCCCTAGGCTGGACTCAAACATGTGATCCTTCTGTCTCAGCCTCCCAGAATGCTGGGATTACAGCCATGTGCCACCACATCCAATTTAGCCTGTTATTTTATTTAATCATGTATCAAAAATATCTTCCCACACTGTTAAATACACATCTGTCACCTTTTTCGTTTTTTTTTTAAACAGCGTCTGGAACTCATGTTGATCCTCCTACCTCAGCCTCTTGAGTGCTGGGATAACAGGCATGTACCAACTCACATGGCTTACTATCATCTTTTATTCCCCCATACTGGCCTTGAACTTACTATGTAGCCTAGGCTGGCCTTGAACTTTTGGGGATCCTCCTGCCTCAGCCTCCCAAGTGCTAGGATTACAGGCATCTGCCACCACACCTGGCTGCTGTCATCATTTTTAATGGTGTATACTGTTCCTTTTGTGGATGAATCACTGGTTAAATGGCCATATGCGGGGGAAAAAAGGCAGACACTGACAGGGGACAGGCAACCAACATAAATGTGTAAATTATCAGAATCAAGATCTATTTAAGATTAGAGAATTAAATACCTGTGTTAAAATTCAAATCTGAGCCAAGCATGGTGGCACATTATGATTAAGCCTGTAACTGTAGCACTCAGGAGGCTGAGTTCAGAGTCATCATGAACTATAAGACCTTGTCTCAAAAAAAAAATTTAATCATAGGGCTAGATATATATACAGCCTTGTGGGAGAGCATATGATTAGCATGTGACATGACCAGGGTACAATACCTAGCACCAAAAAGTGAAATCATTTCAATTTGTGAAAAATACAGGCCAGGCCAGGCATGGTTACCTACACTTATAATCCCAGAGTATGGGAGAGTGAAACAGAAAGCACATGAGTTGAAACCAGCCTGGATTACACAGTGAGACCCTGTTTCAAAAAATTGAAAAATAGGCATAGTATTGCATCCCTGTCATCCCAGAACCCAGGAGGCTGAGGCAGGTCCTGGGCAACTTGGCAATTTTGCAATTTAGTGAGACTCCATGTCAAAATAAAGATTAAAAAAGGACTAGAGATGTAGTTCAGTGTGAAGTTCCTAGGCTCAATTCTTAGTACCCTCAAACAAAAAAGTCAACACCAGAAGACTTCAGTGACCATGGAAGGCATGGAAGTTTCTTTTCACCATCAAGCAAGCAATTCTGCTTTTGGATACCAGCTGGATGTTCTCCAAGTCCATTGTTTTGATGACATCTGTCTGGAGAGAGTGTTAGATCCCATAAACTGAGGGCTCACCAATGTCAAGCCCCAGGTTTTACCTATGCCTGGCAAGCAACCTATCGCTGAGCTACATCCTCAGCCCTTTTTATTTCTGAAACAAGATCTCTCTAAACTGTCTAGGCTAGGCTTGAACTTGAGAGCTTCCTCCTTCAGACCCCTGAGTAAATGAGATTGCAGGCATGTGCCACTGTGCTTGGATCTTTTTTTTTTTTTTAGACAGGGTCTCACTGTATAGTTGAGACTGACCTAGAACTCAATATGTAGTCCAGGCTGGTCTCGAACTCACAGCAATCCTCCTGCCTCAGCCTCCCAAGTGCTGGGATTACAAGCATGCGCCACCATGCCCGGCCCTTGGCTCTTGATTACAGTTAAAAACAATTGGGCCAGGGATTTAGCTCAGTGGTGCTGCCACCTGCCTTTCAAAAAAAAAAAAAAAAAAAAAAAAAAAAAAAAAAAAAAAAAAAAAAAAAAAA